TGATGGCGACGAAGTATTTAGTGAATTTAGAATAATGTAAATGAATTTAGACGGTCATGGGTTCGGTCACAAAACATTACTACTATATGCAATAATCGCGAACAAATGATACAAGATGGAAAACAACCACAGAGGAAGTTGAATGGTAGCTCTAGGTCTTTCGTGTTGCAGTCAACACATCTTCAGGCATTGAGTTATCATTCAGTTTCCCCTGTGGTTATTTTATTTTATTACTGTATAGTTATATGTGTATATGAGTTCATTTTTTTATTTTTTGAATAATTTTTCAGGAAATATATTTTTTCCTACTAAAATTAAGGTATTTTGCTTTAAAAATAATATAGAATAAAAATGCCTAATTTTATAGACCTTGATGAGCTTCTCATATTTAATATAATTTTTGGGTTTATTTGGAATAATAGACGTGAATATTTGACTGTCTATTTTGCAGTCTTAATTTTGATATGTGTGTGTTGCAGGACCAAGTGGAAAAGACAGAACCAGATGCGCTTGGAGCAGCTGCGTCAGTCTGCAGGTGTCGGCGTGGAGAAGGACCTGCTGGGGGCAGGTGGTGGTGGGGAGCGTAACTCCCCTGTCGACCCACTGGGGGTCGTGGCCCCCACCTGCTGCCCTCCCTACTTCCTGCCCCCCGTCGACCGTTCCTGCTTCATCACTACTGCTGGTCTCTTCACCCGCCTCCCATACACCCCTTCCTGTCCCTTGTGACCCCTCCCCGACCCCTGACCCCTCCCCTTCAGCCCCTCCTGTCCCTTGTGACCCTTCCCTGACCCCTGACCCTTCCACTGTACCCCCTGTCTCATTCCCCTACAAATTACTGTTCCCTTTTCTTAAATTATCTTACATATTTTCCCCCCATTTCTCTCCCCTGTCGTCTCTCCTTTTCTTACCAACACCCTTCCCTTCCTCTCTCCCTCATGCACTTTATTGTTTTATCTCCCTCTTCTCTTCCTCCTAGTTTCCATCCTACCATCTTCCTCCTAGCTCCCTTCCTCCTATTTTCCCTTTCTTTCAGTCTTCCTGATAATGATATATCCCACAGTGTATATATTATCTGCTGAGTGTTGTGTATGACCCGAGTCTTTTGTATATAAATGGCTTACTTATAATGTTCAGTGTTCATGAGTGTAACTTAGATTTTTTTAAGATTGAATAGATTTATTTATTAATGTCCTATGCACTACAAAGAATATAGAACATCTTTCGAAATGTACAATATTTGAAACTAACGACCTTGGAGGGAATTAATTGGATATGAGCATTGAAGAGTCGTCATACCCAATATATTCACGAGGAAAGTCTAGCTCTTTAACCAGTTTATGTGTTATATCTGGTGGCATTATTGAAAGCTTCGTGTGTAATAAACTATAGTGCGAAGTGTTTCTCTGTGACAGAGGGCCACGGCCACCCACGGTGGGCCACGGCCCCCACGGTGGGCCACGGCCCCCACGGTGGGCCTTATCGTAAGAGAGTAAACCTTTAACATTTACTCTTGTGCCTCTTTTTCCAGAGGTGGGCTTCCTAGGT